CGCACTACTGAGGTCTTCTGCTCTCTCTTTTGTGCGATATCTTATGAAAATGTGGACCGTTGAATTGTTTTTTTAAATTTGTGAGCAGGTGTCATAGAGATTAAATGCAAACATCTGTTCTTAAAGCAAGCATCAGTGTGGCAGCATTTACTTCTCTGTATTCGCTCTTTACAGCAGGACTTTGAGGAATGACTATGTTTATTGTTTACATTTGATAAAGACGTGAACATTTTGACTGAATGTCGTCTCACACACTGTATTTTGCTCCACCTTGGAAATAAAATGCATTGTTGGCTTTTAGGACAGCTAGATGGTGTAAAGTGAGCTTTTACCTTTACATGAATTGAAATTTTAATAAGGGCATTTTAAATGAATCTTTTTCAAACAATGTTTTACCTCAAGCGTTTTGTACTTTTCTTTTTTGACAATCTATAATGTCTATGGAATTGTACTTTGTATTAATTTGTTATACCAGCCCAGTAAAAGCTAAATAAATTTGAATAGTATTTGAAAGAATGGGTTATCTCCTATTTCTAAATATTAATTAATTTTAAATCCAGCACTTTCTCTGATTGAAGTTTATTTTTGTATGTATGAGTAGCCACACAGACGTCTGGTGTGGTTGGTCAGTACGACTCGGTGATCGCAGCCAATCTCAGTTTTTGCATTTCAGCATTTAAGTCAAGCTCAATTCTGCCACCTATAATTTGCAGACAGTATTCTAGAAATACAAATACCCCCAAATGTACCTGATAATCAAAAGTTATTTTCATGGGCTTAGTTGGGGGTTTGCTGTCTAGTCTTGATTTAAGAGTTAGGTAAGGGGGGACCGGATCTGCCAAGCAGGCAGACATGAGTCTGACAGGATGGGGAGTCAGTTTATGTCCTGGCTGAGGAATGTAAGGTCTGCGGGTCAACTAGAAGATTTACCAGCCAAAGGGGGGTTAGAGACACACCAACACTATTCAACATACACACTCTGTTTACGATGTTTACGTTAAGTCAGGAGTCTGGACATTGGATGTGACCGGATCTTAGATGCGGGAGGTGGAAGGTCCTCCTCTACGCCAGTTTAGGGCCAATAGAAATCTTTCCTTCTCTGTCTTTCAAGGGTTATAAAACATGATGTTCTTGCTGATGTTGTGCCAATAGTAATAGTGTGTGCATCTCTTCTACAAGGCCACCAGACATCCAGGCGACCTGAAATCGGACTAAGTATCTCTTTCTTTAAACCAAGCTAGTCTGCTAAATTTGTTGTTGATTCTAGTGTCTTAAGTTAATTTGATTGCTGATTTGCTTTAGTTTTCGTCGTCTCACGACCAGTCCTCTTTGTTTGAAGTTATCTTGGTTGCTAGTTTGCTCAAGCTCTTTCAGTCTTTTAGTGCCAGTTTGTGTTCTAGATTCTACTATTAAGTTAACTGCCAGTGTGCCCTCCTAACTCTGCTAGGTTTTGACCTGATCTAAGTCTGTTTTGCCTTGTCTTCTGAAGCAAACAAGACTTGAATCCTTAAACTCTCATTTTGTCAAAACACCACATGGTGATTGTTCACTGATTAGGGTATCAAGCTATTGGTGTTTTGCATTTTGAGGAGTTTCTGTCGAGGCCAATCGACCTTTTGTCTCCTAAACGACGGGGGAGCGGCCAGCGCAGCCGCAGCCGACTTCCACTAACGAGGGAGTATTTAGCTAGAAATCGTGGGAAGCGTTAGCTTCAGCGTTTGCGTATCCTCGCAGCACGAAGAAGAGCAGAACAAAGACAAAGGAGTCTTTCGTGGGAGTCAAGACGAGCAGAACAAAGACAAAGGAGTCTTTCGTGGGAGTCAAGACGAGCAGAACAAAGACAAGGGAGTCTTTCGTGGCAGTCTTCGGGGCGACTGAATGCGGCGCCTTCTTCTGCTATTCTTAATAATGTGTTTGACCCCTTTACCCGTACCTGTTCCCGCAGATACTACAGGCCTCGGGCTAGATCTACTCTCTATCGTAACCTCTCGTCTCTCTCCTATCCCACCCGCTCCACACATGTCCAGCACCTCGTCACAGGAGGTCTCTGGAACTGCCAGTCAGCGACTCGCAAGGCTGACTTCATCTCCGGCTTCGCTATCCAGCAGTCACTCGACTTCCTCGCTCTGACCGAGACCTGGATCACACCTGAGAACACATCCACCCCAGCCGCTCTCTCCTCCGCCTTCTCCTTCAGCCACACTCCCAGGCCCACTGGTAGGGGTGGTGGCACAGGTCTACTCATTTCACCCAAATGGAGCTTTTCTCTCTACCCTCTACCACCATCCACCCCATTGTCCTTTGAATTCCATGCTGTAACAATCACTCACCCGGTACAATTAACCATCGTTGTCCTCTACCCTCCGCCAGGCTCCTTAGGTCAATTCTTGGAAGAACTGGACATTCTCCTGTCTAATTTCCCCGAAAATGGACCTCCGCTCATCCTCCTGGGTGACTTCAACATCCAGACAGAGAAGTCATCTGACCTCTTACACCTACTTTCTTCCTTCGCTCTGTCACTCAGTCCCTCTCCTCCTACTCACAAAGCCGGCAATCACCTTGACTACATCTTTACTAGAAACTGCTCTACCACTAACCTCTCTGTAACTCCACTTCATGTGTCTGATCACTTCTTCATCTCTTACTCCCTTCCACTCTCTATAACTAACAAACCTCCCTCATTGACTAACTCTATACCGGCTCGTCGCAATATTCGCTCCCTCTCTCCCTCCTCGCTGGCATCCTCTGTTCTATCAGCTCTCCCTTCAACTGATTCCTTCTCACTCTTGCATCCGAACGCTGCTGCAGAGACTCTCCTCTCAACTCTTTCCTCCTCTCTAGACTCTCTCTGCCCTCTTACGACACGACGGACTGGCAAATCCCCTCCGGCTCCGTGGCTGTCTCAACCAGTCCGTGCCATGAGAGCCACCATGCGAGCGTCGGAAAGGAGATGGCGTAAATATAAACGACCTGACGACCTGCTTAATTTCAATCTCTCCTCTCCTCGTTTTCTGCTTCTATCTCTGCTGCCAAAAGCTCTTTCTACCAATCCAAAATCGAATCTTCATTTTCTAACCCCAAAAAACTCTTCTCGATCTTCTCCAATCTCCTCGAACCCCCTACCCCTCCTCCCCCCTCCACCCTTCTTCCGGGAGACTTTGTCAACTACTTCACCAAGAAAATAGCTGACATACGCTCCTCCTTCTCAAACCCACCTCCTACTTCTCGCGCCACACCGACCTCACCTCCTTTGCCCTCACTTCCCTCTTTCACCGCCCTCTCTCCTAACCAAATACTTACCCTAGTAACCTCTGCCCGTCCGACCACCTGCCCTCTTGACCCCATTCCATCACATCTTCTACAATCTATCGCACCTGACCTTCTTCCGTTCCTCACCTGTCTCATCAACAACGCTCTGATATCTGGCTGTTTTCCCAATTCTCTGAAGGAGGCAAGAGTCAACCCCCTCCTGAAGAAACCCACCCTCAACCCTTCTGAAGAAAACAACTACAGACCGGTCTCTCTTCTTCCCTTTTTGTCCAAAACCCTTGAACGTGCTATCTTTAATCAACTCTCCTCTTATCTCCACTGTAACAATCTCCTTGACCGTGCTGGGTCCCCTCCCGTTTTCGCTTTACACCAACTCTCTTGGCGCTGTCATTCGCTCGCATGGCTTCTCTTACCACAGCTATGCCGATGACACCCAACTAATTCTCTCCTTCCCTCACTCGGACACCCAGGTGGCGGCTCGGATCTCTGCCTGTCTAACTGACATCTCTCAGTGGATGTCCGCCCACCATCTGAAAATCAACCCCGACAAGACTGAACTACTTCTCTTTCCCGGAAAAGATTCGCTTACCCAGGACCTGACAGTCAACTTTGGGAACTCCGTACTAACGCCCACTTTGACCGCTAAGAACCTCGGCGTCACACTCGACAGCCAACTCTCCCTGACTCCCAACATCACCGCGACAACGCGACCCTGTAGATACACGCTCTACAACATCAGGAGAATACGTCCCCTTCTCACTCAGAAGGCAGCGCAGGTACTGATTCAGGCTCTTGTCATCTCCCTCCTGGACTACTGCAACTCCCTCCTGGCAGGTCTCCCTGCCACCGCCATTCGACCTCTGCAGCTCATTCAGAATGCAGCAGCTCGGCTGGTCTTCAACCTTCCGAAATTCTCCCACACTACTCCACTCCTCCGCTCTCTTCACTGGCTACCGGTGGCCGCCCGCATCCAGTTCAAAACACTGGTGCTCACGTACCATGCTGTGAATGGATCGGGTCCAGCTTACATCCAGGACATGGTCAAACCCTACATCCCAACCCGCACTCTCCGCTCTGCATCTGCAAAACTACTCGTCCCTCCCTCACTGAGAGCAAAACACTCGACTAGGTCTCGACTCTTCGCTGTCCTTGCGCCGAAATGGTGGAACGAGCTCTCTGAAGACACCAGAACCGCAGAGAGCCTTCACATCTTCCGCCGCAAACTAAAGACAAACCTCTTCAGACTCTACCTCGACTAAAGACTAACAAATTGTAGCACTTAAATTGTACTTGTAACGTCACTCATCTATAGCAAATTGTAAATTGGCTTATTTGAGGAAATTTCACTTTCTTGTTTCTTGTTCTCCTGAGTTTGTACCCTATGGTTGAATGCACTTATTGTACGTCGCTTTGGATAAAAGCGTCCGCTAAATGACATGTAATGTAATGTAATGTAACGTAAATCTTTAACTCAAGGTCAACCGACTAGCATGTAGCATTGTTAGTTGCCACGGGAAAGAAATCCAATAAACGGACCTTGAGTTTACATGAACTCACTCTCCTCAGTAGTTGCAACGTACGCAAAACAAAATACATCAGTGTATAATACGTTTTGCTTTGAGAAATGACTGCCGGAAGCTGGCAGCATTGTGTCAAAACAAAATGCACATGATTGAAACCATGCTTTTGTTTTGTAGAAACGGACCGGAAACGAGTTGGTGCTGGTTACTAATGGCGGAGCTGAGCCGGAAGCAGCTAAGGGCTCGCAGCTAGGCTATCCGCACCGTCCTCTTCTTCCAGCTTAAAACTAAATCATTAAAAGTGATAACATTCATCTCGCTGGCGGAGAGCAGCTTGACTGTCCTCCTCAACTGGGTAAGACTTCTTTGGTTGGACAATGTCTTCGTTTGGGATTTCATAAGTTAGCTTACAAACGGCAGCTTCAGGTCTGCACCGTTAAACGTCGGAGTGGAGTTTTGTCGTGTGACCAAAGGCCTCATGTTTTAAAGTCATTTGCTAACCCTCATCTTCCCCAGTGAGCATTTTTTGGTTGAAAAGGCGTTTAAAAGACGTCTATGGCCCGACGTTGAAAAGACGTTGCAAATTGGTTTAAAAGTGAAAGTTGTTTCAACGTCTATTCGTAGACGTTGAAAAGACGTCTATGTTTAGACCACATTTCAACGTGATTTTTTAATACGGTAATATTTCGTCCTCTCTTGTGTGCTATATCATTATTTTAGCGGTTTAAAAAGAAACTACGTCCACATTTGTAAGTTTACCACCGATATTATAAATCACGTTGAAAACGGGTCTATACGCGAAAGTTGTTTCAACGTCTACGAATAGACGTTGAAACAACTTTCACTTTTAAACCATTTTGCAACGTGTTTTCAACGTCCGGCCATAGACGTCTTTTAAACGTTGAAATGCTCGCTGGTTGAAATGTGGTCTAAACGTAAACGTCTTTTCAACGTCTACGAATAGACGTTGAAACAACTTTCACCTTTGAACCAATTTGCAACCTCTTTTCAACGTCCGGCCATAGACGTCTTTTCAACGTCGGGCCATAGACGTCTTTTCAACGTTGTTTCAACGGATAAATTGCTCGCTGGAAACTTACAAGTTACATACTTAGTCACAGTTGTCATGTTAACAGCCCTTGACAAGGACAAACACATTATTTTGTTCATTTGCATTTATTATAAATATAACACTATACATATAACACTTTTCCTAATTAAAAACAATACAAAAATAAAATATATATTTCAGGGAAATAAACTATGGATTTAAAAGTGCAGAAACAACAATTCTGTGTTCAACAACAACAATTCTGTGTTTGTAGACCATTTTTCTGAATTATTTGAACTTCATTTTAGATTCTGTAACAAGATGTGGCTGTGAGTCACTTGAGTTGGGATAGTATACCTGAAATCAGCTGCATCTCCCTCATCCTCACTTGATGATTCTTTGTGTAAAGGGAGTCAGAGTGCACAGAACAGCCCTCAATTGCAGATTTCTCTGGTCAACGTGTTTATTCAATTCAAACCATTTTATTTTGTTCAGCTTTGCAATCTGTAAACATGCAACATCCTGTCCCAAAACCCCCAAAATGTAAAAAACCTTCAACCGGGAGAAACCTGAGGGGAAAACAGCAAGGCAGTAGGTGTGTAGAGTATGAACAATTTAAAGATGTACAGTACAACCAATTCCTACGACAGAAATGATTCTAATATTGTGGATTACTAAGCCAGGGGTAAGGCAGGACCAGTGCAGGGACAACCATCATCAGACGTAACCTCCATCAGATGCAACCACCACCCGCAGAAACCTGTGAGGAGGGAAGCACAACGGCAAAGTTGGTAATTTGGGTTTATGATGACAGTAATAAACTAATAATAATAACAGCAGCAGCAGTTGTGTTAGAACACTCATTTATAGATTGTTCACTTATTACATTATCAACAAGATAACAATTCATCTGCACCTTATGGTATTTCTGGAGTAACATGTCCAGGTATATTACACAGTATCATGCTTTAAGCAGCAGTAACTTACAATGTGTTGGCCCTCTTGTTTACAGAGCACAACTTGTTGAATTCAGCCCTTCACCCTTGCAATCTGTATTTAGCCCCCATTGCTTTAAAAACGTATCTTCAGTGTGAAATGCAATAACATGTATGGGTACAGCAACAACCTAACGCATTAGTAACACCAAACACGCGAAAAATATTCTGGGATGTTTACTTTTGGTCCAGGTCATCATGCTGCACGCTAGCATGCTAACTAGCAAACTACCTGCGCTAACGCTAACTAGCTTAACAAAAAGGACCGTCTTTCCCGTATCGGGTGGGCAGCACAAGTAAAACACCCGGTTATAGTTCCATGTGTGCTTCATCCAAACACTCCCGTACTTACAGAGTAGTGGAGCCGGTAGTCGTGGTTCTATCAGCCCGTTCATGTCGCTCTGCTGCCGTAACTTCGCCTCGTCCGCTCGGAGCTCTGCAGGCGTCTAAGAACTCGCGCATGCGCGTTACAGATGTGAGCGGAGTCACGTGTTTACAAGTAATGTTTGAACCTGCCCGCATTATTATGCCTTAAACGCATCTTATTAACAGCACGCAGTCCGTAGTTTCATATTTATGACGTTTTAAGTGAAATATTAAATACGTTGAAATCACGTCTTCGCGTAGACCAAATTTCGCCGACCAGTTCATTAATTATTATAAAAATCTTAACGTTAATATCGTCTATCTTTCAACCTTACGTTACAACATGACACATTATCAACAAATTGACGTTTTCTGGCACGTTGATGTTTCATCCCATTTTTAGCCGGTTGAAAAGACGTTGAAATGAGGTCTTAGACGTTCAGACCTCATTTCAACCCGATTTCAACCATATTTCAACGTTGAAATTACGTCTTGTGCTCACTGGGGTGCTGTGTTCTGGTTTTCAGATCACTTCACTGTGTGTGCGTGCGTGTGTTTGCGCGTTGTCTCGTCGGACGTCCTCTTGTCTCTGGGTGGGTGAGACCGGCTCCGCGCCGGCCTCCTGTAGATGAAGATGTCCCTGGCCCAGCGTGTGCTCCTCTCGTGGATCTTCGCCCTGATCTTCCTCATCATGCTGGTCCTCAAGCTGGACTCCAAGATCGACTGGAACTGGTTTCTCGTCTTCCTCCCCGTCTGGACTTTCGACACCATCCTGGTCCTCATGCTGATGGTGAAGATGGCGGGCCGCTGCAAGCCGGACCCGGACCCCCGCGAGGGCGAGCAGAGCGTGAGGAGGCGGCTGTGGTACCTGACGGCCCTACTGCTGAAGCTGGCCTTCTGCCTGACGCTGTGCTGCCGCCTGCAGAGGCTCACTGAGTTGTGGGTCAGCGTGGTGTGCGTCCCTCTGTGGGTGCTGCTGGGTGGGGCGCTGGTGGACCTCGGACACAGCGTTTTCTACTACAGGAGGGAATGAGAACAGAGAACACGGAGTCTACGAGACGTCGTGCTCGGGTAGCTCTCGCTTTGGGATGCACCCTTCTGGCCTCCTGGATTGGGGTCCGGTCCGCTGCCGGTCTCATGTGGGTCGGTAAGACGGGAACGGACCTACATTTAATACGGTGTCTCTGTCAACGTCCCCGTGGAATTCACTGTCTGCTTGAAGTTGCGTTTAAATCACTGTAGGTCGCAGACCGAGTGAAGTCGACGGGTTGGGGCCCAGTTTGGTGTTTTTTTGAATAATTCTCGTCTTCACGTTGCTGTGGCGTTCACATTGCCTTCAAGCTCGTCAAGGGCAATAGATTATTTTACGTAAGCTAAACCTGTACTGCCGGGTAAGACTGGGTTTGCCTATTGTCCTAAAATCAGTTACGCGTTACACTAAATGCTGTGTCTTCAGTTCACCTTTTAATTGTGGGATCCTTTTGACACTGGAAGTAAATGTGTATCAACAGTATGAAAATATCCACTTGGTTACACGAAACCATGTTCTGTTTGTGAAAGCATGTACGTCACTATGTGATCATCCTGTCCAGAGCAAGAGATGTCTGCGGAGGGAATGCGGCATCGAAAAGGACAGCTTTCACCCCCAGCCACAGACTGTTTGCCCTCCTCCCCTCTGGGAGGCGCTACAGGGTGCTCCGTTCCCGGACCAGCAGGTTCAGGAACAGCTTCAATCAATCTAATCTAATCATTTGTGTAAGGAAACTTCTTCCCATGTGATGTACAATCCCATGTGTCTGTAGCTTTCAGCCCAGGATGTAAATGCCACGAACACTAAACCATAACTTCCTCTAACTGTAGATCAACTATTGTGACATCTTAGTTCATGACAATCATTACAATAGTTTTTACTATTGGACCTAAACCAAGTAGCAAAAAAGACAAATACTGAAGCTTTAATAATCTGAAATGCAGTAGAGACATTAAGACTTGGTCAATATTTTTGAACCATTTATTGAGGTTCTCATCAGAGTATAAATCACAATACCAAGTTTTATCTTAGGAAATCAAATGTATTTACAACATCATTTTCACATACATTGGTTTCAAATAAAAACAGACAAATGATATAAATAAGTTCTATGGAACCAAAACTTGTCTTACAAAAAATATATGCAATTTTTGTATACATTTCTCGCATTGGTGCTTATAACCTAATGTACAGTTTTGATACATACAGTATCATTTACAGCCCTGTGTGAGTCAACCAACGTCCAGTCCGAAAACAACTACTTTCTCCGGTTTTGGAGCGCCATAAACAACAATGCCCGTCTACTAAAGCAACGCGGCGAAGAGGATTTCAGCAGTGTCCCAAACAGTGAATTCCCTATAGCTGGAATAAGGAGGGTTGTTTTCAGATTGGCTTGTCTAGTACCTAAATAGTTGCTTTAAGAACGTTTTATATAGAGCCTACATACATTTGCTAACAAACGTGAAGTGAGCTACTTAGCTTACATTCTTAGGCGCTGATAAAATACTTGGAGCGTGCATCCTTTTTCCTGCGCCCTCACAGGAATAATCTGCCTGTGACCACGTAAATTACACCCATAAAAGAGCAGTTGTCTGGAGGAAAGATGCATTTTCAAATACTTTAACAAAGCGTCAGAGTAAGTTGTACAGTAAAAAAAGACTAGACATCTAGACATTCATATTAATAAGTCTTTCTGTGTCTGGACTGTGTGTGTTTTAAGGGGCTGTTTTAACAAGTGCTGCGGCGGTCGAGTGGCCTGTAGGGGCGGGACACATTTCCCCTGCACCGTGTCCTTCACTTTTGGACCTTTTGAGGGCACAACTGTCCGATTGTCCGATACGGGTTTGGAGGAGGAGCCTCTGGAGTCAGCGTGGTGGTGGCTCTTAGGCCGACTGTCTGTGAAGGAAAGGGCCAGAGTCTGGTGAGCCTCCATCGGCTCGAAGAGGTCAAAGGTGATGAGTGTCCGCGGCGGTTTGTGTTCTGGTGGCGCTGCCCCGGAGTTGGACTTCTTCCTCTCCTCTCTGCCATGGGCGTCCTTGTCCTTCTTTCCGTCCTTCTTAACCTGAACGCTGGCAGGTTTGGGAACGCCCGCCTTCACGTCCTCTCTCCCCGACTTCGCCGGCGGCCCCTGTGCGCTGGACGCGTTGCTCTCCCTGTGACCGCTCTTCTCCTTCCTGCCGTGCAAAGACTTGTGTTTGTGCAAACAGGCGTCGCGGGCCTCCTCCAGGTGCGTTCGCAAGGCCAACGCCCCCTGTGTGACTCCCCTGTCCTTATCGTGCTCCTTCTCTCTCTTGATGTGGGGTTGCGTCTTTAAGTCCCACTCCTTGGCCAACTTCTCGTCTCTCTGTGCAGGCGCAGCCGTTTGAGAGGCTTTAACGCCCTCTCTTACCCGCTCCTCCTCCTCCTTTTTCCTCAATGGACCGCCGCCGTCTCTTCCTCCCTCCCCCTTTACTCTCTCCGGCTCTCCCACCCTGTCCTTCTCTCTCTCCAGGTCTTTACCCTTATCCTTTTTGTCTTTTTCCTTCTCTTTACTCCTCTCCTTGTCCTTCTTCTCCTTCTCTTTAAACCTTTCCTTTTCATCGCGCTCTCTTCTTCCTTTATCTTTCTCCTTTTTGATTTGTGGGGAGTTGTAAGTGCTCATTGAACTATCTTTAGTTTTCTCCTTTACACCGTGACCAGATGTCTTTTGCTGCCTCTCCTCCTCTACTTCATTCTCCTTCCTCATTTGCTGCAGTGACCTCAAGGATGAATTGTCCACTGCTGCCTCGCCATTGCCCTTCAGCAGTGTCTCACGTGGGTTTGCACCTCCATCTCTCCCTCCATTACCTTCCTCGTTCGCCTCAGTTTTAGGCTCCGCTGGAGTGTGAGCGAGTGCACCTTCCTCTCTCTCCTTGTTGACAAATGATATAAACTGCGTCGTTAACAACCCTTTCACCTCGGCTCTGTTCTCCTGCTCTTCCTCCTTGAAAACCCAAGTTGGAGTTTGTGAGGGCGCCTCTTCCTCCCGCTCATTGTCCACGTGCTGCAGCTTCATCAGCGGCTGCACAACAGGCTCACAGTACCTCCTCTCAACCTCCTCATCGCTGTCTTCATCGTCCTCGTCCTCCTCCTCTTTGATATGAAAGGTTTCTTCTCTGAGTGCACACTTGTCTTCGTCCTCCTTCTCTTCATGTTGGTGATACTGTTTGAGTCTGATGTGCCAGGCCAGACTGCAAACAGCAGCGACCGTTTTGAACTGGTGGACGACTCCTCTGGGAATGAAGTAGATATCGTCGTGGTAGAGTTGGATTCGGGCGTATCGGATCCCCTCCCTCCTCAGCTGGTTCAGCTTGGCGTCATCGATCCACTGCACGCACTGGAGAGGCAGCAAACACATTCAATTTAGTGAGCCCCCAATACAACGATCTAAGGTTTTAATTCCTTCATGGTAGAAGTGTGCCGAGTGAGTTGATAAACCAAGAGAACAAGTGGAATGTCTGAGGCATTTAATGCTTCATTTGTTTGGGATAATGCAACAAATAAAACTTGCCATTTAACCGTATTAAGTTGATATTTTGAGATTCAGACACAGAGCAATATTATTATTCAGCAAGTCTTTAAGTTTGCTGTTGGGTGTCCTGAGGGGAATAGATGTCTCTTTGGCAGCTAAATGCTCCTGTTTGATACATTTGATCTCATAAGTGGAAATAAAAACCTAGTCATGTTACTGCATCACACGAGGCACCAATAATAATGCTGACCCACCTGAGACAGCGGCGGTTCGTGGAGGTCCAGCTGCAGCCTCATGACCACTTCTGGGAAATCTCCAGCGTGGAAACACACAACGTCTTTGGTGATCCGCCCGGGAGCGGCACTGCTGCAACGCAAAAGCCTTGTTTACAGATCTGAGGTCGTGGTTGATACAAATGCGTTTGTGTGCACGCGATGAGGTGAACGGATGTTGCCGTGTACTCACTCCTCTCCGCAGCGGACAGCCTTCAGCACACCCACGGCAGCGGTAGTTTGCCTCTCGAACCCCTGACCAATGTGGTCAGCGTGGGCTCTCGTCCGGTCCTCAAACAGCATCTCCCTGGGCTCACTGGCTCTGGGTAGATACTGCAGGTTCTTTATCTCATTGGTGGACCTGGAATTCATTTATTCACACCGGTCAGGGTACGTCCAAGGGCACGTTTTTTTATTAGTATTTATTTAGTATTAGTATTACTTTCTTAAGAACTGGTTTGAAGGAAAGCTCAAACAAAAGATGCAGGTGAGACAACAGCAGCTGTGCACCGGTTGACGTTTACAGGATCAATAAGTCAACCCACCTTTTCCTTTTGAAAGGTGATTTTGGCATGTCGGCCATGGGGATCATCTGCTCTCCCGGCCGGACCCACATTATGGGACCGTCGTCGCTCTCGGTGGGGCTCTGCAGCCGCAGACTGGAGAACGTTCCCCAGGGCAGAGTCCGCTGCGTAGACGTAGGGTGAGATACTTTAGGCCAAATAAGTGTAAATAAGTTGTGGCCATACATGGGGACCAGAGACACGGGGATAAGAGACACAGGGCGAGTGCACATGCAGACAAAACAAATACACTAACCTCCAGAAAGGGCGATTCCTCCAACATGGTGATGAACTCGGGGAAGTAGTCTCCAACCTCCTCATCCACCGCACCCACCAGGCTCACCTGCCTCATGGCGCCGGCGCGGTACGTCCCCTGGGAATACGTCCGCTTCACCTGCAGGAGGGAGCGCAAGCGAGGGAGAGATCAGTCCCACGCTCTTCTGCTCGTCGCTGTTTCAAAACATCACGGCCGTTGGTCGTAGAACCAAGGCCAGCGTGGTCGCGGGGCAGCAGGAGTTTTCCCGCCACACCTGCCTTTAACGAGGCGCCCAGTTAAAAGTTCAACCAGCATCCGCTCAGCAGCTCACAGGACCTGAAATACAAAGATGCTGGTCCTTGGCAGAACGCCAAGGTGCTTAACGTTCATCAAGAGGTGAATGTGCACCACATTCTTTCAGGCACATTTGTGGAAACGAACGATCACAACCGAATAAAACCTCACTGAATCACAACTTAACAGCAGGTTTGATTATGTGTCAGAATCAGGGAGTGTGTTTTTTAAGCTTTAGTGTGAAGTGTTTTCTTTCTGCAACATTTAACAAATGTGCTCAATAGCTCAAAGCTTAAAGCTTCATTCATTCATCACTTTCACATGTTTAGTATCATCATTCTGTTCAAAAGAAGTGACATTCAGTCCAGCCCTGACTGTGTGGAACTACACAAGACGTTGATGACATGTTGACTTGTATACTGTACTTATATTCTATATCTTTTTTATATAACATGATTATGACTTTATCCCAATGAATATTTATAATGCAAAATATGCTAATTGAAGTTAAATAAAGCGCCTGAAGGATCTGGAGAGGAGGTCCTTGTGTTCCCCAACCTCGTCACACATTGGAAGAGAAGAGCGGTTATAGACATGACTATGTGTATATGTGTGTGTGTATGTGTATATATGTGTATATGTGTGTGCCTTTGAACAAAAATAGATACTACTGATGATAATGATAGATAAAATATCCAATGTGTTCACTTACAAGAGTTTATGCAAATTCTCAAACTGCACATTGAGCGTGGACACCTAAAACATGGCGTCCCCGACAGTAACGACAACCAGACCGTTGGCCCAGATGCAGCAGGTCTAAGATGAGATGTTTACTATATCCTCTCTCAAAGTAAATCCCACTTTAAATATAAAATAAATAAAAAACGTGATAACAGGCTGCAGCATCACAAGACTCCAAAAGTGTGATTGTCAAAGTGAGAAGAGACCCCCCGGCGTCCGTGACTCACGGGCCGCGGGAACAAAACACTTTTAGCAAACTGTGCCGTGTCATTAAAAAGTGCAAATTTTAGGCTGGTGGGGGGCAGCTATGGAAGGGCTGCATGTAATCGATCATCCATCGCTTGCACGTGCAGCCGTGGTGCTTCTCTCCAATGAACCACGTTTTGAGTACAAAACTATACAGGGTTCTATTGGGTTTGTGGTTTTTCTGACACAGGATGAACGAACCGTGACTACGTTTTCCTCTACTAAAATCATCCTCTCCGTTTATAAAAACACGTTGAAAGGATGTTAGGTACAAACGTCGACTGAGGTGACTTTAAAATCGGAGAAATATAATTTAATTCCCTTTTAAGCACATGCCTTTCTAAGCTTCCACACCTGGCTGGTTGTAGAGCGTCAAAAACAAATACCAAGAACGAACACGTAAAAAAAGTGTGAAAAACACCTCGTGCAGACGGGCGCACATACGGTACCAGTCAAAAGTTTGGACACACTTTCCCATGAGAAACTCGTTTCCTACGTGATCGGGTCTTTGCCGTCACAACGTCTCGTTCTTATCACATGACACTTTTTTCTGGAGGAAACAGGCAACAGCTTAATAATGAACTATAATTGGTTTAACATGATAACTGATTACAGGAGTCACCGGCCTTGTTACGGAGGAGAAAGCCGCTGTAAGCGTCTGCAGCCCACGGCTCACAGCTTTGAGGAGGACGGCGGACACAAGAACGGAGGCCTGTCCCTTTTCTTATCAATGCCCCTTTTTGTTCTGCACAACTATTGGAGAAAATAAAGTGCAAAAGGAACAAAAGCGTGAATGCTTTCCAGTGTGACTTCAGCCGACGGCGGAGCAGCGGGTGAGAGAACAGAGGACAACAAAACAGAGAAAATGAGTGAGAGTGTGTGTGACTGCATCCATTGACCACAGCAAAGTAAACTGATTGCTAAGTGTTCATTTTAAAGTAAATTGGATGTGTGGGACAGAGAGACAGAACCTGCGTTAGAGCTTTGTTTGACTTTAGAGGAGGAGTATCAAGTCCTACCGTTCATTATTAAAGACTACTTTGTCGTATTTTCTGTAACGTGTGTCACAGCGCATGAAACGTGATTTTCCTCTACGCCCGTGAAGGTGTGGACCAAAACCACTTTGCAAACGATGCTGAAGCGCCTTTGTGGGTGGAGATCAGATCATTCTTGTTTTAAAACCGCTGTTTTAGACAAAAACGTAGTAGTGTGGGTGTATTCTTTGTTGTAGTACTAATCAGTAATAAGCAGTAAATAACTTACTGATACTGTTTTCCAGATAATTCATTTGAAAATAGATGGAAGTATATGATGTCAGTATAGCGTTATATGTTAACGCTCGGGGACAAAACAAAAATTGTTGAGCCATTTTTTTGAAAAGGTCTTTTCGACAAACAATTACTTAAAAAAATATATGTTATTCTCACATTTCCTTCCTGATCTCTACCATGTTTCTTCTTGTCAAATCAATAAATTAAATTCTGGCTTTTTCGAATTGTTTGACTGTGAGGTTGGAAAGTGACTCAACGTCAAAGAAACAAGATCTTCTCCCACAAGATTCAGCTACTGCTGGAGTAGAAAACAAGACGACACAAAGCAAACCGGCGTCACGGCGAGACGCCTCAAACACATCAATCAGTCGGACAGTTCTTCAAGAAACCAGCGTGTGAAGTTGTAAACAACGTGACACAAACACACACACTTCTGTCTTAACGCTGCACAAACCAACGCTCCCAACACAGCGTTTCTTACTTCCAGTCGAGTCGAGCTTTCAAACTACGTTGCCCTGCTGAAGAGAGGAACGATAACACAAAAAACATCTTGCCTGAGAGTGGAAGTTGACCATGGTTGTCGTCTCTATGTCCTTCTTCCCGAGAACCTCCATCTTCACCGGCGCATTGGGGAACTTGTAGGAGAAGTAGTCCAGAAAGTCCGGCAGGTAGGACGCCGCTCCGTGGACGATTCCCATCACAAAACACGCCGCCTGGGCCTCGTCCTCGCTGAACGACAGGGCCACGAACTCCTGGGCGAAGCGCTGCATCTCCGCCGGAGACAGAGCGGAGAGCTGCTCGGTGTAGGCGTGCGCCACGGATGCCCCGCCGTTGGCCTGCTGCTCGACGTGGATCAGGCGGCCGAACTCCAGGCCCGACAGGCCCGGGGACGGGGTGCAGTGGAGCGGGGAGCTGTATCCGAGTCTCTCCCTGACCATGGAGGTGATGGAGGCAGAAACAGCCGGAGGTTCACGGTGTTGTTGTGGTGCTGAGGAGGCGCGGAGCAGACCGCTGCTGTTAACGCTGTTGTTCCCATTAATCCGGCCGAGGAATTCGGGCGGACCCAGAGACACCCCCGAACACACTGTCTGGCATGAGCGATGGTACATTTTGGGTCGGCTGTGCCTCTCCTTCACTCGCTCGCCATCTTTGTGCTTCTTTTTCTTCTTCTTCTTGAGTTTCTTCAGCCGGAGGTCATCTTCAGACCCAGCGTTGGGCTTCTCATTAGTCTCTACATTGGTGGACAAGAAATGTTTATAGTTAGTTACAAGGTGGAGCATCACGTAAAACTGATCACCAGCTGCACCTGGCGAAGTATCTATTTTATATCCTTGAGATTGCATGTGAAGTTTGACAACTTTGGGTTACGGTTAGTGCAGCTGTATATTGTTGCAAAACATTGTACCGCATTACCTACACATTTGACATATTTTATAAATTGGATGCTTATTTCATGTTGAAAATGTTCCGAGACGACTTGAGCAAAGGGATTTACCATTAACACCTGCAGAGGACTAATTTATTTCGAAGTTATCCCAAAATAATGGAAAATGCTTTTCCTCACAACTGACCAGCGTTACGTCACTCCTACCTTTCACTTCTCCGTTTTCTCTCGCAAAGTCATGCAACGTTACAGGTGTCAACATGTGATTTTTCCACTCGCTGCTCTTCTCCTTCTTCTTCTTCTCCCCGTCCTTCTCCTTCGCGTGGTGATCTGAGAGGAGCAGAAAGCAGGAGACGAAACGCTGCTGAAACATCCACGCTGAGCGACACAACAAGAAGGAACACACATCTCCACGTGTATAAATCACCATCTGGGCCTAATAAGTACCGGGGGGGGGGGCATATTGGTTATGTAATAACCGACTGAATAATTTCGTTGCGGTGTTGTTTTTTCAATTGGACCCGGGAAGAGCTCGTCGGAGCCCCGCGGTGAGCAGCGAGCGCGTCGCCCTACCTCTCCGGAGCGCCTTCACGTCTCCGTTCTCGGTCTTTGTATGGCCGCCAGCGGGGCTCACTCTCCCCACGTCGGCGGCGGCGCTCCGCGGCGCTTCGTTGCTCTTCTCCTTCTCCCTGGGCCGTTTCTCTTTCGCCTTCTTGGCCTTGTGGGGCGAGGCGAGGAAGTTGCTGATTTTGAAGATTTTCCGCGCGGGAGTGTTCGGGACCGCGGCGGCGGTGGAGTGGCTCGCCTTGGCCGAGCCGAAACTCCATTTCGCTGGGCTCCCACAACTCTGCTTCCCGTTGTGTTTTTCCCCTGCGCACACCTCCCCGTTCACTTTCCTGTGCTTCAGGCCCTTCTCCTCCACCCGCACCTTCTTAGGGGTCGGCGGGTAAATGTCACTGGAAGACTGCGGGCGGCTCTCCGGCGGTCGTTTAGCTATCAGGGGTTTAGGGGAATTTGTTTTGCTGTTTGCTGCGAAATGCATGGAGTCCACGGCTTCGGCCATCTTGGAAGTTTCTATTTTTTACGGTCAGACGTAACTGGTGCGTGAGAGCTAGGCTGGGGGCGGGGCTTACGAGCTACGTGCCGACGCACGTTAAAGGTGCTGGAGAGCTGAGCCGGGGGCGGGGCTTCGGGGCTACGTGCCGACGCGCGTGCTGTTTACGTCCTCTTTCAACCCTGCAGGACAACAACCGGTACTGAACAGTACAGAGGGCGTCTACTGATTCGTCATCTCAATTATTTGTCAGTTTTGAGTTTTGAATCACTCCCAGTCTTTAAAAATGGAGAAAAACGCCTCCAGAAGACCACCCAGAGGAGAACCAAGGAGGCAACAGGCCTGAGAGCAAGCAATCCACATTCAAACCATCTAAAGGCAAAATATGTTATTGATGCTATTTAAGCTTTTGAGCAGGTTTTTCTTTTGCACGTGTGTTCTGCTATGAATTTCCACTTAACGTGGGTAACTTTATGTAGGTTGGACGTGGGTTGTTATTAACAAAGCTTTCCCACAGGTAGCATGTAGCACCAACACTTTCATGGTTACTTTTTAAGTCAATAAATTAATTAACAAAGAGAGAATTTAAAAAAATCTAGAGAGGAGAGGAGGCAGATGCAACTTCACAATTTAATTCTCTGAAATTTACAACCAACCTTATGAAACCCGTTTGGGTTTTGTTGACATTACATCACAATCATTTGGCTGAGAGTTTACTGTGTAGCAGTTTAAGTAGTATTTAAAATCTTAAATGTGTATTACTCACTCAGCAAACTGGTGTGTCATGAGCTGAAAGGATCTTAAGATAGGGGACCACACAGTAAGTACTGAAGAACCACGTATGAAATTTACCTAAGATCCATTTTGTGCCACACATCATGGCTAAGGAAGAATTTTCACACACGTGATTAAGAATAAAAACACAACTATCTGTAGACGTAGAGCTTTAAAACATTCTTCAGTGAAGAACGGCTACAACCAAGTGAATAATTTAATCTCATTTAAACCAAAGGAATGAATCCACATGCTGCACATTCCTATTGAAGTAGTTGCTCTCAGTAAATGTAGTTTACATGTGTGTTATATTTGTGATTTATTCAACACTTTGAAAATACCGGTGCTATTTTGACCATCTCTAAAAAGACGCAACATGAGTAAAGTGTGTCTGTTTAATTACTTTCACGGTCCACCTGGAAATTCTTCAAAAACATTCAATGTTTTCATGGCGTTTGCCCTGACCTGTTGCACTGTGACCTCACTTAATACGTTTCACGGATGCATCAAAGCTGCAAGATAACATTTCCCCCTCTAACAAATGAGTAAACGGACATTGGTTAGATCACTGTCTAAAGAAGGGCATGTTTTATTCAGGAGGTCATGTGAAACAGCTGTTCATGATCCTTTTAATTGTTTTGACTCTATAGTTACCACGGTGAGAGACTGCTCCGACCAACTGCTCAGAGGGGGCCAAAAAAGTGGAGTGTACCTGGTGACCCCTGACCTCCGCAGCAGAAGTTTCCAGGTCCTCTGCGACATGGAGCTGGATGCGGGAGGATGGACGCTGCTGCAGCGCAGACAGGACGGCGGCGTGAGTTTTAACCGCACCTGGGATGAGTACCGATCAGGCTTCGGGGAGCTGGATGGAGGGGAGTTCTGGCTGGGCAACAACATGATGCACCTGCTGACCCGGGACAGGGACATGGTGCTGCTGGTGGAGCTGGAGGGCTTTGATGGCGTGATGGAGTACGCAGAATACGAGCACTTCAGGGTTGGAAGTGAAAGGATGCGCTACAGACTGACGGTAGGCGCTTACTCGGGCACCGCTGGTGATGCTCTCCGCTTCAGCAAAAGTTATGATCACAACAACAGGGCGTTCACTACGCCGGAAAGGGACAACGACCGCTATCCATCCGGAAACTGCGGGGCGTACTACAGTTCAGGCTGGTGGTTTGATTGGGGAGCTACAAGGGAGTGCGAGATGGGATATACTGGGAAACGTGGCGTAACATATCCACAGAGTATTATCCAACCAATCAAAGGCAGTCATTTAAAACTGTCAGGATGATGATCAGACCAATAAGCTTTGCACCATGAACCTTGACTCTACCAGTGCAAGTTGAAAAAAAACAAAAAAACATAAACCATAAATTTAATAAAGCCGTCTATACACAGTTATTTTTTACTACTAACACAAGGCTACCGCCTTGTGGTGTTTGATTCTGCAATAATCATTTGTTCACAGGATAATATGACAATAACTGAGGATGTACATAGTTACAAAGGTAATGATTAGAATTACATTGTAACTTTTTATAACATTTTAATACTAATATATTTGTGTTTTTTTATTATTGGAAATTAACAATGAGAGACGGAAATCTTTTTTTCAGTGTATGTGACGCGTATGAAGCAGTGGATGATCTTTTATTATTGAATTACTGGAAAGCGAGTTGAAGGTTGATTGAAGATATATGTTTTTGTAATAACAACTGTGTTGTTAGTGTTGTTAAAAAACAACAAAAAACAAATAGGTTTTGCCTTTGTCTCTCATTCTTTACGTAAAAGACACGTCTTTGATGCTTTATTTAGTACACAAGTTCCCAACAGCCTTTGTAGAGACTAACGTCACCTGCTCCGGTGATACTGATGGGACAACACTTAAATTTATATTTATACATATATAAATATATTTATACAACACTGCAACTTCCTGCTTGTCAAGACATTACATTGTCTTACATTGTCCCGGACTAAGACCGGAAGTAAAGTATTTTGCCGTCAACATAAAGGAACCAAAAAATCTGGAGGAGGTTGCAGGCTGTTGGTAATTTGGCAAATTATTCCATCTAAAATGGATGAAAATAGAGCTATCCGCCCTGCGGCCCCAGAAAACAGGGCACCCAAAAGGTTGAGGCTTGAAGTGTTTCATTGTATGGAAATTCAATGTAATTACAATGAGTAATTCATGTATTTGTGGATATCGACTACAAAGTCCAACAGGTGGGCTTTCATGTCTAATCTCTTAAATTAGTAAAAATATAATGTACAAAACAAACTTTGAAACAAATCATTGTCTCAAAATAAAATGGGTTTTAACAGAAATGTACAAGTCTCAATTTGTATCTTTTTATTTACAATTCCCATCATCATTGGCTGTTTTTTCCCCCTCGCATCTGCTAACATTTTTCTCATTCAAATATATGCGTAAACCCAATTACAAACAAAAGCTCAATCTATATTTTTTTTCTTAATCGCTTTTAATCTGAAACTCGTACCGGAATTAGCAGTATTTTCGCTGACATCCCCACCAGGGCCGAATGAGGAACACAGGACTGGACGGACCGTGTTGACTGAATGGCAACCTGCGTATCCAGCGTGTCGGTGCCACTGAGCTGAAGTAGCAGCGCGAGGTGTAACGTTAGAGCAGCTCCTCGATACCAGGAGGTGTTAGACATGTTTTGGCGCTCAGCAGCTCGGCCGGGATTTGTCACACTTCTACGCTGCTGGTCCCTCGCGGTCTGTTCGGGGACCCCCACGTGCCCCCAATGTCCTCTGGTCACCTCCCGGTTCTTCTCCGTATCTGTCCCCCGCACGAGGTCTCCAACCCACGAGGGGGTAAAACCACCTGTGAAGCGGTGGGCCCTGGCGGCGAGCGCCTTCGGCACGGTGCGCGCGCAGCTTGGCTGCAGCATCTCCGTCCGCCCGCTGGACCTGCACGCGTACCCGGAAGCGGACCAGACAGCGAGCAGGAGGTCGGCCTGGATCACCTACGCGTCCACTACGACGACCAGAGCAAAGAGCTGCTCATCTCCGCAGAGGGGGTCAAGAGCAGCGTGTCCATCAGTCTGACTGCGCCTATCAAGAGCAGTGAGTGTCCCGCTGTTAGTGACCAGGTTACAGAAATGGACATTTGGAGCCGGTCATTTGCTTCCACAGGTCAGCATCATTTTCTTAAGCAGTTGACAGGATACTGTCTGATGACCTTCGGCCTTCTTTTCTCAGATCTATTCATCACCACTCAAGGAAAGGGTCACGTGCAAGTGGAGAACATGGAGTGTGACATCTGCACGGTGCAGACAGAGCAGGGAAGCTGTTTTCTGCACTGTCAAGGTGGTGGCAACGTAAAATGACGCTTTAGGGAGACGAGACATGTAAAACCGAGCCGAGATGCACAAACATGTTCGCTGCATCATGTTGACTGATTTCATTATTCAAACTTTTGATACAGTAATGTTGCAGATATTTGTCCTATTTTTTAATCTTAACACCTGTTAAGATGAAACAATCCACTTCAGACTGTTGTTTTAGAATGGATGATGTCTTGAATTCCCTTCATCTGTTTCTGTTCTTTTGTTTCTCAGGGTCATCGGGTGGAGGTCCAGTCCCATGGAGGACATGTCACGGGGGTGGGCACTATCCATGGCAATGTGGACATTAGCACACGTGGAGACGGCGTAAAGACAGAGTACACTCAGTAGTCATTAGGGGGCGGCAGCAGGCCGCATGGAGGATAATTTGGAGACTGAAACCAGTTGGAATAAACATCACCTGGCTACGGTCCTGTGCAGTGATTTAGTTGTATGTTTGCAGGCGGTGAATGTCAAAAAGCTTCAGGGGAACAAAATGAATATTTCAACAGAACGTGGCCCTCTAAAGGTGAAAGCCATCTATGCTGAATCCAGCTGCATCTCCTCCTGCTCCGGGAGAATCGAACTGGGGAATGTGCACGGTGAGCAAACAGCAGCATCTATGTTGTTTGTGTGGTTGTCGGGGCTGAAGCCAAACTCAAATGTAGAGCATGAGAATGTTGCATTGAATTCATTACTTGTTTGTCAAAAACAACATATGTTTTGCATCAATTTGTTGTTCACTGACTTGTTCAGGGGCACTTTTAACATATGGACAGAGCTGCCAACCCTACAGTTGACAGGCAATCCACTCCGCTATCTGAGCCTGCCTCAATACCAATTTAATTTGTATATTTTGTAATTGATCTGCTACCCGTAGTTCACTCCGCCAGTTGGTCCTTTTTTTATAAGAACCTCCACTGTCCATAAGCCATCTGGACACCGCTGCATGAGGTTTGAAAGCAGCACTTTGGTATGTCAGGAATCCCTGGCTGTGATCCAAACCCACCCTATTTAAATTCAATGCGTTTGGAATTTAGCACAAATTCTTTACATGTTTGTTTTTGAAGTGGCCGTAAATCAGGTAAAACTGGTTTTAAGATTTGGATGTAGAGGATATTTTTTACAGAGACAAACAGTTCTTTGGGGCGAAGTGAAGAAAGGGCATCATGTTAGAATAGAATATATGGAATACATGAAAACCATTATCTTCTGGATTATGATGCATACAGTCTGCGATCGATTATTTTCTTAGCGGTGAATTGTTATAAATGTTGTAATTTATCAGCGGAAAAATATCTGACGGCAATCAAAAAACTGACTGTGCTTTAATTCCTTAAAAAGGCGACGCCACCGTGAAGAACATGTCTGGAGATACAGTCATCGGTGAGCGAGCTGCCGATTGCATGATGAACTCCGTATGGCATCTAACGGTGGTCGTTAAAACCCAAACACATTTCTCCTTCGGCAGATGGTTCGAATAGCTTCCTTAAGGTTTCCTCTCACAGCGGGGCCATTGACGTCCATGTGGGAGACGGTGGCAGCGCCCAACTCCACAGTCAGGAAGGTAAACCTGCAGTATAAGTGTTCACCTTCCTTCTCGCTGAGTGTTTCTCCGTGTTTATCGCTCATTCTTCTGTTATGTGTAGGAGTGGTGTGCGTGCGCGTCCCCTCCTCGTTGAAAGCCGAGATGCAGCTGTGTGGAACGTCGGTGGATATCAGCCCAGATGTTGTGCTGCACGGAGTAATAAACAACACAACTGAAGGCCAAACCACAGTTACTGGTGAGCAGTTGTTTTTCATTACATCACACTTCCCGGCAAGTTGATTAACTAAACAGTCCTACAACCAAGTCAACACAAAACATTCATCTTCCTTCACTGTACTTCTCTCTCAGGTTATATAAATGGAAAGCCCCAAGCTGACCAGTGTGTGAGAGTTCGGGCAGACAGAAACTCCGTCAGGCTGAAAACACAAAGCTGGTTTGAATCGCTGAAGCTGGTGAGCTGATTTATGAGGTCTACAAGACAGATATTTCTGTATATTAGGTATATAAAACATTGTGCTCAGGTTATACTGTACTTTAAATAAATAATATATTATGTACTGTATTAAACAGATATTCTGTATGCATTAAAAAAAGTGATGAAAGTATACTATTGGACTGCACACCAGTGTTTGTTTGTGATGAACTGTCAGTGGTTTTAATATTGCCAACGATTGAATGTTCTATGTACGGTATGTAAAAGCCACCTTAATAAAAGGTGTGAAATGCATTACAGGTTGCAAACACAGGATTAACCAATAATGTATTACACGTTTAACACACTCAGAACTTCAAGTGCTTTTAAAAAAAAGAATTGCTCTCTGCACGTGTCCACACTGACTGCTGTTCTGCCACTTACCGGGTTCATCAGTCTTGATGGGTCTTGTGAGTGGAGGCACTATTTGACCCTTGTTCTATCTGAACCAGTATGGATGTACTCTGTTCCCAGTGATGTGGCTGAAGCTTTAAAGCGGCCATCCTGCGGGAAGATATCCCCTGAAGCAAGATGGAGGGAAAATAAAGAGAACATTTGGGGGGGAAATGCACACTTAAAAGGCAGTTGAATGTCTGTGTGTGTGTGTGACAAAGTGTGTATACTTTGGGACACCCGCAGTGTGATCAGACCTCTGCAGTAAAATGAAACTGCTCTAAATGGCAGAGTCCGTCAGAGCCACACAGTGAGACACGTCAACGTGCTCCAGATGTCTGGCGCTCTTACACAGCTTCTCCCCTCGTGAGGAACAAACGACATGAGTGAGACGGAGATGTTTGGTGAATGACTTCAAGAAGTCAAATGCAGCGTAATCTATTCACATCTCTTAGCAGATAGTAAAACTAAACAACTTTAGACATTATTGACTTTTTTTCAAGTTATTTCCTGTCCGCTAGAAAAGAAAGTACACTGGGAACCACATCTGGCTAGGCGATGAAATTCTAACTTGATTTGTAGCTCCATGCCAACATCAGTGAGACATTCGGCAAGAACTAATGTCTTCAAGTGAATTCCCTCGAGACGCAAGGCCCTATAATTACAAACACAAAGATCACATCACATTGTATTTTCTTTTAGAAAAATGTCAGTAAGAAACAATACCTGATCCATGACGTTGCAACCGCTCGTGTCGAGAGAGCCAACGGAGCTGCCACTCAACCACTCGACACTCTCATCAGTCAGTCCCTCACAATAACTCAAGTTGAGATGATACGGTTTACACAATCCGATTAACACACACAAACAAACAGAAAGCCGCTACGTTAGACTCTTCATCAAAGCGCCACGCGATGAGTCTGTGTGGTGTGTGAAGTCATACCACATACCTTTGCGCAATCCTCATTACACATGTGTCTGTGATGAGACTGCAGCTCTCTCGGTTTGGTGGATGAGGAACCTCCAGCATTACACACCCCAAAATACACGTAGTCTACCCATTACGCCACGTAATATCATCAGCACACATAGAATGTACTACGGCAGCAAAAAACACACAAACGTGTTGCAAAGAGAAAGGTCCAGGCTGTGCAGGTTGTTGAGGTTGTTATCTATCTATCTATGACGTTGTGTCCGTCATAGATAGATAGATAGATAGATAGATAGATAGATAGATAGATAGATGGATAGATAGATAGATAGATAGATAGATAGATAGATAGATAGATAGATCGATAGATAGATAGATAGATAGATGGATGGATAGATAGATAGATAGATGGATAGATAGATAGATAGATAGATAGATAGATAGATAGATAGATAGATAGATAGATAGATAGATAGATAGATAGATAGATAGATGGATAGATAGATAGATAGATGGATAGATAGATAGATAGATAGATAGATAGATAGATAGATAGATAGATAGATAGATAGATAGATAGATAGATAGATAGATAGATCGATCGATCAGAAGAGCAGCAACATAACAGCA